CTCCAGATCAGTTTTCTGAAACAAATGTGTATGCCAATGTTATTGTAAAAGCTTACCATGGTCATAGCCATTGGTGATAGCCAGCATCATAATTAGGAAACATCTAGTTAGAAGTATAACAATATATCAAACCATTGATGTATTGCTATTGTTTCCTATGACAATGCCATATCAATAGGAATTCAAAATTGTTTGTTTCTTTGCTGTCTAATGTTATATAAAAACAAGGATGACAATATGGTTGTTTGTTTGTTGTTTAATGCTGCACTCAGCAATATTCCACCTATATGACGGCGGTCTGTACATAATCGAGTCTGGACCAGACAATCCAGTGATTGACATCATAAGCATTGATCCATTTAATTGGGATCGATGTGATACTTCTACCAAATCAGTGAGGAATTTAAAAACGTTGATGGCACTGTCAACAGTATGTATAAGAACCGATAGTATCAAAAGATACGTTACAAATAAATTATACAGAAACTTTGCGTAAAAAAACCTTATGTTTCTTGTTTAACACCACACTCAGCAATATTCAGACATTCTGGATGTTAACCAATCCCTCGAGGAATAGATATCTGAAATTTATTTTTTTTCATAAAAAAACTGCTTTCATGCAGGGATGTTTGCATGATACGTTCAAGGTTTGTGAAACAAAGATAGCTTCATTTAATTTTGTTTTGTTTGTTTGTTGCTAAACGCTGCACTCCGCTGCACGCTGCAGTATTCCAGCTATATGACAGCTGTTTGTAAATAATCAAGTCTGGACCAGACAATTCAGTGATTGACATCATGAGCATCGATCCATGCAGTAGGGATACAATGACATGCATCAACCATGTCACTGACCACCCACTCCCGTGAGTCGCCTCTTACAACAAGCACATGTTGCTGAAGACCAATTCTAACCCAGATCTTCATGGGGAAAATAGTCATGAACTCTGAAACACAAATAATAATCTAATATATAATGTTCAGTTCAAATTTGAAGGAAAACCTTCAGTACACTTAATGTTTCCCTCCCTAATACTGAGTGAGTGCTTTGGTTAATGGAAGCCCTTGATCCCTTCTGTTATAATGGTGAGGCCATTTCATTCCAAACTGACCTCATGTTTCTTCTTAAAGCCGCATCCGTAAACTGAGACTGCTACCGAAAATGGCCGATAACATTTGTATTTGCAATACTGAAAAATATATATCTGATCAACTATCTTGATACCTTGTTGATAATACTTAAATCATTGATCAACTTGCAAAATTCAGCATTCAATTTCCTGAGTAAGGGAGTAATTATACGTAGCTTTTAGCGATAATCCCGAACTGTCCCTGCAGGGGAAGGAATGGGCCTCCAGCACACAATGTAACCATGTAACAGAATCCAGGTATAGAACACACCCTGAGAAACCCGAACCTCAATTAGTCCATGGAAAGCCTTAACATTAGACAAACTGTCTGGGGCTGTCGGGCTTGTTCCGAGGCAGTGGGGTATCCCGGTGGTTCTAGCATCTGCTCGTCACGCCGAAGGCCCGGGTTCCATTCCCCACATGGGTACAATGTGTGAAGCCCATTTCTGGTGTCCCCTGCCGTGATATTGCTGGAATATTGCTAAAAGTAGTATGAAATCTAACTCACTAACCCAATGTCCTGTGATGAAATTATGGCCTTGATCTTGAAGAGAGGAAGAACCTGATGTTGTTTCAGTCAAATACTCGGGCTGTGTGTTGAATAAAACACTGGTATAGCAATTCAATGCGATACAGGTGTCTGTTTTGCAATATATATTGCAACATATTGGCAGCTAAAGTCATTAACACTGATTGTTCATGCAAATCCTCTTTTTTTTCCAAAATAATAATGTAAATATTACTAATGTTGGTCAGGCACCGCCATTTTGAAGTCATGCAGGGGAGATAACAACATGAGGGAAAATCACTTTCATGTTTCCGTCGTTTTGTCATTCAATTTCGGAGGTAAACATCATTCGTGAATGAATTTATGCGTTGATTTTAGATTAAATGGTAAAATAATAACAAAACTTGTTATAATTTGTTTTATCCAAAATATCGGAACAACGAAAAAATATTGCAATATGTATTGCTTGAAAGGCATAAGGCAGAATACCAATGTACCGGTAATACTGTGCAGTCCTGTAGACACAAGGTCTGTTTACAGATAAACCTTATTAATCCACACTCAGTTAATCCAGACAGTTACATGGAAACGCATACACAGTGAATGTTAAATGAGGGGAGTCCAGGGGTCCGTCAGATTTGCTGCAATGTTACTTGAATCATGGAACTCCTAAAGCGTTACCTTTTAACATTAGGGCTATGACACTAGGACCCCTTGAATTTCATGATTTATTTCGTAAACTGCACATATACTACTGAAAAGAAGTTAAAGAACCAATTCTTTCATATTACTATAGTTAATGCCATGACAGATTATAATAACTGAAAGAATTGGATTGTGCTGCAACTCTCTTGAGTAGTATATGTTCAAAAGGACATTACTGAACATGCATATTTCTTTAAAACGGACAGTGGTTAAACCAGACAAATTCAAGAATTCAGCTGTACCATGCAATAATGACAGTAAGGGTTGCAAGATCATGTGTAAAAACTCTCGAATATTTGCACAGTCTGTGATCTCAAAGTGAGCTGGTCTGTAAAAGCAAAATGTCATTCTGCTCCATTATTGAAAGCAATACAATCTGACATCATCCATTAATTCATTATTCACAACTTAAAGTGTAAAGTAAAGTTTTCTTGTAAGGTTGACATTTCTTACATTTCCTGAGGGTGCATATGGTTTTAGCTGCTTTTAACAATATTCCAGCAATAGAGGACACCAGAAATGGGCTCCAAACATTGTATCAATGTAGGGAATCGAACCTGGGCCTTCGGCATGACGAGCAAACACTATAACCACTAGGCTACCCTACCACCCTTCATATATTTCTTGAAATAACAATGGCTTAAAGCACGCCTCCGAGGGCTTTTCACGAGGTCAAGGTTTTACATTTTCTACCAAAACCTCAGGGTTTTGTTTTATCCAACTGATGAGCCGATTAAATGCACGTAATACCAGAAATAGTAAGAAGAATTGACACACCTTATTGTGAAACAATACAGTGTATCACGGTATAAAAGGAATTCGCTCAAAGTGTGGGAGAGAAAAAACATGTGCAGCATCGACTAGCTGGAGTCATGACATGATAAACTCAACAACTTCTCGTCACCTCCCCCGGTAGTTTAGTGGGAAAACAAACACTATATGTGAGGTTGAAGGTTCGATTCACGTCTTGTAATTTTCATGTTTAAAAGATATTGTGACTATTAACCAAATATCAAACACAACTGTGTTTAAATCAAAGGAAAGTTAAATTGTAAAACCTAGGTATTGCAATTGAAATGTATTCATCAGGTCCCTAGCATTGTTGATATTGCCTGCGTTGGAAGTTTATCAACATTTAGAAGAACCTTCTGTTACTGTAGTGTGACATCATCAGAGGTTCTTAAATCTGGAACAACCTGACTGAAATTCGGAATTACAGATTACCTGTCCCTCATGAATCAAATATGTATTCAGCTCCGTCTAATTTATGGCCCAGTGTAGCTATTGGGCTGCTCTCTCAGAATGCGCGGAACCATTTGCGCTTACACATTCAACAGTTTCACTATGTTAGTAGCAGCAGACTACCCTGAAATGGTCGGCAGCAACATAATCTGATAAGTCGTATGGGTAAGACATTATTCAAGTCATTAGCAAAGTAGAAAGAGGTTTAATGACCCAGATGACATTCTTCTACCGACGTCAGCCATTGTTGACTGGGCATTTCAGTATGGACCAGTCTCCTGGCAAACTTGAAATAGATTTTCTCTTTTACATATGGGCTTGTATTGACTTACCACACTGAAAACATAAACCACACACATACAGTGCAGTCTGTGGTCACTGCTGAGGCAGGACCTGTTCCTCATCCTTGTCGTGCCACTCAGTTAGGACGCTATGACAGTGAATAGTTCATTCTTTTTGTGGTATGTGTGAGTGAGTTTGGTTAATGCCCTTTGTACAGTGAGTGAGTGAGTGAGTGAGTATGGTTTTACGCCGCTTTTAGCAATATTCCAGCAATATCACAGCGGGGGACACCAGAAATTGGCTTCACACATTGTACCCATGTGGGGAATGGAACCCGGGTCTTCGGCATGGCGAGCGAACGCTTTAACCACTAGGCTACCCGGCCGCCCCCTTTGTACATTATTTGGGTTATGTCATAGTGTGTTGATTGATGTGGGAACAAACAGCAAAGTAATGCAGGTCTGAAGTTTTTACCACTTTAGTGAAACCAACGAGCACAGGCAGGGCGCTGAAAACTTAGATACATTATCATAGGTTCCTGCGTGCCTAAGGGACGCAACTCTGCACAGCAATTTGTGGTGCCTCAGCTGATTGTGCCACACGTTTCCCCTAAAGTGTAGGAGTTCAATGGCTCTGTGGAACAAGAAGTTTTAAATATAGACATTTCGAAGAGGGACTAGGCAAATTGGCTGTCTTTTTCAAGAAATTTAAATAAACTTGTGTTGTCTGCTAAATCCAATTTTTCAAGACGGAGGAATGTAACATATCTCAAAATCAGCACATTAAGAAAATGTACGACTTTATGAATAACAACTTCCAGTTTCAACATTGTCACACAATCTCAAGCGGGTACAACCAAGTGATCAGGGAAATGTTGTCATTCGGTTGTACTCATTCCAGATTGATAAAGGCGTAAGAATCTACATCAAATCGTCACTAATGCAATAAACCTGAAGTTATTATTCCAAACGTTGTACAATTTCTTATTTACTCACCAACTTCTAGAAAGACAATCAAACAGACACAACACATCTATTTCAACATTTTGCCTTGACCTGTACTCAAAATAGTCATCAGCCTTAGAGCATAGTTCCCCTTCAAATATGGTTGTACGATTGTAGGCAATGTGCACCTACCAGATTGTAGACCCCGAGAATGAAGGCTTCAACTCCTCCGCAGCTCTGAAACACAAGGAAACATATGAGTACAGTAGTGTCACCTCCTCCATGTCCTTGTAAGGAGGAAGTCATGACACATGGCCTTACTACAATCACAACACTTAATTAGGACTAAATTTTAATGTGCAAAGTTCCACCGCATTTTTTGGGCTTGACTCATGAAAGTTGTTGAGTGAGCGATCGGGGGAGGGTTATCTTTGCAGACAGCAATGTTACAGCTATGTTGGGTAGCCTTAAACATAACCTTGAAACAACCACAGCATTTTAGTAGGACTCTACTGTCATGTGAATATGTGAATTCATTTCAGCTTGACCCATGGAAAGTGATGAGTGAATGTTGTTTTATGACAGTCAGTAAAATTTCAGCTGTGTCACAACAGCAACTATTCTGGTGTGAGTGGGTGAATGTTGTTGATGCCAGTCAGCAATATTCCAGCTGTGTCACAAAAGCAACTATTCCGGTGTGAGTGGGTGAACGTTGTTGATGCCAGTCAGCAATATTCCAGCTGTGTCACAAAAGCAACTATTCTGGTGTGAGTGGGTGAACGTTGTTGATGCCAGTCAGCAATATTCCAGCTGAGTCACAAAAGCAACTATTCTGGTGTGAGTGGGTGAACGTTGTTGATGCCAGTCAGCAATATTCCAGCTGTGTCACAACAGCAACTATTCTGGTGTGAGTGAGTGAATGTTGTTGATGCCAGTCAACAATATTTTAGCTGTGTCACAAAAGCAACTATTCTGCTGTGAGTGGGTGAACGTTGTTGATGCCAGTCAGCAATATTCCAGCTGTGTCACAACAGCAACTATTCTGCTGTGAGTGAGTGAATGTTGTTGATGCCAATCAGCAATATTCCAGCTGTGTCACAACAGCAACTATGCTGCTGTGAGTGAGTGAATGTTGTTGATGCCAATCAGCAATATTCCAGCTGTGTCACAACAGCAACTATTCTGCTGTGAGTGAGTGAATGTTGTTGATGCCAGTCAGCAATATTTTAGCTGTGTCACAACAGCAACTATTCTGGTGAGAGTGAGTGAATGTTGTTTTATGCCAGTCAACAATATTTTAGCTGTGTCACAACAGCAACTATTCTGCTGTGAGTGAGTGAATGTTGTTGATGCCAGTCAACAATATTTTAGCTGTGTCACAACAGCAACTATTCTGCTGTGAGTGAGTGAATGTTGTTGATGCCAGTCAACAATATTTTAGCTGTGTCACAACAGCGACTATTCTGCTGTGAGTGAGTGAATGTTGTTGATGCCAGTCAGCAATATTCATGTTAAATGATGGCAGCCTCTTCACATATCAAGGCTGGAGGTGTCTCCATGAGCAAATCATGGTTATGGAAAGAAAACGTTCACACAAACTAGAAGTGACAAATTCATACAACACTTGTTGATTACTTGTTCCCATAGGAACGTGTTTCAGTTCTTCAGGGATTTACCAAGATCTGCTCAGAGGCGGATATTCGATCCCAAGTCAGAAGCAAATATTGGTAAACATTCCCAAATTTGCCTTAAAAAATAGTAATAACTAACGTTCTTTATGCCTGGCAGCTTTGACTGGCACTTCACTGGAAAGACCAATAAAAAGAAGAGGCGATGATGTATAGTCATATATTTTGGCATTGAAGGAAATATTAAAATACTCCTGAATCCAAGAAAATATATCCTAATTTTGAACAAAATTTGTTTTTCCCTGCTCTTACTTGTGAGTGGATATAATTCCTTTTCTAGCAACAAACAGGCAACATCACAGCAGAAACACCAGAAATGTGCTCACATTTTACCAGTGTGGGGAATCAATCCCGGGTCTTTGATGTCACCAGCAAATGGTTTAACCACTAGGCTACCACGCTGCCCTTCTGTGGAACTGTAAATCATGCTTGGTCATTCCATTAGATTTTTTTTATAGAAAACAGTTTTATTTGAATCAAGTTGGGGACAAGTGATACTTGTACAAATATTTGCCCCCCCTGTCAAAAAAAGGTTAACTACGGCCTTGCATTCCTGATATGAATGTTTACCATGAAGGTGCTTGCTGGAACAGCAGAGAGGCACATGTGCTGGCAATGACACATATTCACATGGTAATACTTGCAGCAGGTTCCATGGTCACATGTGACACGAACTAGCTCAGCAGGTGTACTTAGATTAGTGGTGAAACCATATGTTGATGCACCGGTGCATCGTGAAGTTACATGCAACGATACGATACGATACGCGATACATTTATTTTTCGTATTTTTCATTTATTTTTTTTCGTGTCAAGTGTCAATACAAGATGATACCCGTGAAGATCTGGGAAAGTATAGGTCTTCAGAAACCCATGCTTGCCGCAAAAGGCAACTATGCTTGTCGTAAGAGGCGACCAATGGGATCACCCGGGTAGTCAGGCTCACTGACTTGGTTGATGTATGTCATCGTATCCTAATTGTGTGGCTCGATGCTCATGATATCAATCACTGGATTGTCTGGTCCAGACTCGATTATTTACAGACTGCCGTCATATGGCTGGAAAATTGCTGAGTGAAGCATTAGACAACAAATAAACAAACAAACAATACAAGACGACATTATAACTCACTTACTACTCATTTAATGACCCCTGGCGTTTTTGTCAGTCAAATATCGCAAAATGTGTTGAAATAAGCATTGCAATTACACCACAGAAAACAGCTGCTACAACCATGTGTCTACAGCTAGATTTTCCTTTTGGACCTATTTATAGTCTTTGGTTGGTTGGTTTGTTGTTTAACGGCGCACTTAGCAATATTCCAGCTTTATGACAGCGGTCTGTAAATAATCGAGTCTGGACCAGACAATCCAGTGATTAATATCATGAGCATTGGTCCACGCAATTGGGATCGATGACATGCATCAAACAAGTCAGCGAGCCTGACATCCCAATTCCATTAGTCACATCTTACGACAACCATTGTAGCCTTTTACAGTAAGCCTGGGTTGCTGAAGACCTATTCTACCCCCGATCTTCACAGGTCTATAGTCAAAAAGTTTCCACGCCATTTGAAGTAAATACCTATGGTATCGTGACCTTTGTATCATGATACATATCATACCCTGTCCTTGCTGTATCAATCACTCCTAGCTTAGATGTGGCAGGATCTGTTCATTGTGGCTCAAATCACAGATTCATCACAATATTTATCATTGTCGTATATCATATTTATCATAACTGTACCCCTGTTTGTTGGTTTCTCTTAGAGAGGTAGACCTGTATACAACCTGTGCCGCTTCAGCATTAAACTGAAACACCCAATCTCATTCAAATCAGATCTTAGTTCTTGCTACCGCCAATTTTGACTGACCAATAGAATGACTGACTAGAAGAAGACATTAGTCAATGAGAAGGCAGCTTTCTCGTGCTTTACGACACCAGTTCAAACTGGTGACTATCCTTTGAAAACTATTTTGACAAATTCTAAATTAAAAACTTGAAAATGGAACAAACATTCTGGAAGGGCAGATAGAGGGCCTAGGTTGTATACATGTATATACAGTCATAAATCCTGCAACTATCGTTCGGAATAACCAGTGCTAAATTTTTCGAGGTTGCACAGTCAGAAATCACATTCTGACTGTCACTTTCCTGATATGGTAAGGGACGCTCCGATTGGTCAAATGAAGGTTGTTCTGACATGACCCGTAATGCGATGTCCTTAGATCTTTGATTAGCGGTAGCGGGAACTAAGATCTGATTTTAATGAGATTGTTGAAACACCCTGATAAAAGTGAAATAAAATTTATAAAGAAGGAAATAAAACAACTCACTTCCCTGAATCAGACCATGGGTTGGGGACACCATCAATAGGGCTTCTTTTATTGTACCCATGTAGGATTTGTCATTTCGAAAAAGTGCTTTAACCACTAGACTACACCAAATCACTCACCCTCCTTATTGCGTGTTTGTTTGTTTAATGCCACACAATATTTGAGCTACATGACAGCAGACAAGCCAGGGCCCCGTTCCTCAAAGTGAACTTAGCACTAAGGTGATCGTAAGTCCTATACTTCAACAAAGGCTTACGATCATCGTAGTGCTAAGATCGCTTTGAGGTATGGGGCCCTGGACCAGACAATCTGATTCTAACATGGAATCACATCGCGGTAACCTTATTGAGATGTAAGAACTGAAGTGTCCCACTACTTCCACAAGGCAATCCTGTCCCACCAATGCTCCTCCCACTTCCAGTGAACACCATGGAGTACAACAGAGTGCACCACACACACACCTCATGACCTGATGTATTGACTACCTCACAACATACACATTAACTCCACATTGTTTCTCAGACAAAGAGTGAGTGAGTGAGTATGGTTTTACGCCGCTTTTAGCAATATTCCAGCAATATCACGGCGGGGGACACCAGATATGGGCTTCACACATTGTACCCATGTCGGGAATCGAACCCGGGTCTTCGGCGTGACGAGCGAACGCTTTAACCACTAGGCTACCCGACCGCCCCCTCAGACAAAGAGTATTTTGCTTAATTAAAGGACGTAGAATTATTATAAAGATCAAAGAATCAAGAAACTACAGTCAACTACCGATAAAATGAAGCAAGAGTTCAGTTGCAAAAGGGTTCTTTCTGGCATCAAGGTTTTCCAGATAAAAAACAACTGTTTGTTCGTGAGTGAGTGGATTTGAAGCTGCTGCAAACAGTTGTGTGAGTTTAAGGAAGAAGAAAAAACAAAAAGCATAGACGTTCATTGGGGATTCTGGGTTAGAACTTTTGTTTGTTTCTTTGTTGTTTAACGCTGCACTCAGCAATATTCCAACTATGTGACAGCGGTCTGTAAATAATCGAGTCTGGACCACAGAATCCAGTGATTGACATCATGAGCATCGATCCATGCAGTTGGGAACGATGCCATGCATCAACAAAGTCAGCGAGTCTGACCTCACGATCCCGTTAGTTGCCTTTTACAGCAAGCATGGGTTGCTGAAGACCTCTTCTACCCCAGATCTTCATGGGTCGGGTTAG